CAGGATACTGGGTTAGATGGACTATTGGTCTGACCAATAGCTAGACAAATTGGAGGACTGGGCCAAAAGAAATCTGATGAGGTTCAATAAGGATAAGTGCAGGGTCCTGCACTTAGGATGGAAGAATCCAATGCACCGCTACAGACTAGGGACCGAATGGCTAGGCAGCAGTTCTGCGGAAAAGGACCTAGGGGTGACAGTGGACGAGAAGCTGGATATGAGTCAGCAGTGTGCCCTTGTTGCCAAGAAGGCCAATGGCATTTTGGGATGTATAAGTAGGGGCATAGCGAGCAGATCGAGGGATGTGATCGTTCCCCTCTATTCGACATTGGTGAGGCCTCATCTGGAGTACTGTGTCCAGTTTTGGGCCCCACACTACAAGAAGGATGTGGATAAATTGGAGAGAGTCCAGCGAAGGGCAACAAAAATGATTAGGGGTCTAGAACACATGACTTATGAGGAGAGGCTGAGGGAGCTGGGATTGTTTAGCCTGCAGAAGAGAAGAATGAGGGGGGATTTGATAGCTGCTTTCAACTACCTGAAAGGGGTTCCAAAGAGGATGGCTCTAGACTTTTCTCAATGGTAGCAGGTGACAGAACGAGGAGTAATGGTCTCAAGTTGCAGTGGGGGAGGTTTAGATTGGATATTAGGAAAAACTTTTTCACTAAGAGGGTGGTGAAACACTGGAATGCGTTACCTAGGGAGGTGGTAGAATCTCCTTCCTTAGAGGTTTTTAAGGTCAGGCTTGACAAAGCCCTGGCTGGGATGATTTAACTGGGAATTGGTCCTGCTTCGAGCAGGGGGTTGGACTAGATGACCTTCTGGGGTCCCTTCCAACCCTGATATTCTATGATTCTATGACCCAGTATGGTTGTTCTTATGTTCTTAACAGCCCCTGACATGTTGTGTGACCTTATGCAAATTACTTCACTCACCCTTTGTCTGTCTTGTCCATTTAGACCAGTGATACTCAGACCTCAGTGGTTCAGGAGCCAAGTTAGCAATAATCATTACCCAAACAAGCCACAGCAGTGTGAATTCAAAATGACTGACCAAATATTATTTTATCAACTTTAATTGGTTAATAACATAGTAAAAGAATCCTGATTGGCTAATTAAATCACACAGTTTTTTAATATCATGTGCTGGAGACACATTAAAGAGCCATTTGTAGCTTGCAAGCCTCAGTCTGAGTATCACTGATTTAGACTATAAGCTGTTCAGGGCAGGGAGTGTCCCCTACTATGTTTATGATCACTGACTAGCACAACAGGGCACTGATCTTGTTTGAAGCCTTTAGGTTCTAACCTAAAACAATACCCATGCCTTACAGAAGCTATATACACTAAAGGGTGAATCCCACAGCATTGTAAGTTTCCTGCATATAGAATTGTTTACAACACTATGATCAGCATCTCCACAATGCCTACTCAGCAACTTGTAAGAGATGTGCAGTGCAGTAAGCCACGGTAGTGGGTTAGTGGTGGTCCCTCCCCCTTTGGGTCAATGAGAGGCCACTCCACCTCATTACCGCGGTGGGCACTGCCCACAGTCAGGGAATTAGCAAAGTCTAGAGTGAGGCTCTTGGGGGGAGTGGACTCACAAACTGACGGGGCTCCAGCTTTCAGGCCAGACAGGCTATAAGCAGTCTGTGGCCCTCAGGCAGGGCAGAGCAGTCAAGGTTCAGGGGCTCAGGCCCTTCACCTGGGGAAGAGTACCAAACAGTCTGCAAGCTCAGGCCCTTTGGCAGGGCAGAGCAGAGCACCAAACAGTCTACAGAGTGCAGGCCCTCAGGCAGGGCACAGCAGTTAAAGTTTAGGGCTCCAGTCCTCAGGTAGGGCAGAGCAATGAATAGTTTAGGATTGTGGCTCTCAGGCAGGATACTCAGGCATCCTGGCTCTGGTGGTTGGCCAACAAATGTAGGCCTGTTGGCCTAAAGGTGGCAAGGCTGCCAACCCAGGGGTGCAGTGGCAGAGGGTAGGGGGACACGTGCCCAACCTGCTCCACCGGATCCCAACCCGGGGCCCTAACAGAGGCAGATGGTTCCGTCACTGGGTCAGTAGGGATCCTGGCTGCAACATACAGACCAGCTTTCAGGCAGTAATGCAGCCAGACTGGAGTTGGCTGTTCCTGGGCCATTTCCTACCCTCCCCTTGGGGTGTACATGGATCTGTGGGTGTCCCTTGTTTCCAGATGTCTAGTGGCAGTCCTGGTGACTACTCAGTGCCTCGGTCGGCTGGCGGTTCCAGAGTCTCTGGCCAGCCCTCAGCTCGGCAGGGCTTCTCTTCAGGCTCCAGCCTCAGAAGCGGGTGGAAGGCCTCTGTCTCCTTCAGCAGCTGCAGCCCAACTGAGCTCCAGGACCAGCCCTTTACACTTCCTGTTCTGTCTCTTAAGTTCCAGTGGGAGGGGTGGGCATGGCCTGGCTCTGCTCGCCTGGGCTCAGAAAGTGGTCCCTCCCACTCTGGCTCAGTGGGAGGCAGCACTCTGTTTCACTACAGCCACACTTAGGAGGTAGGGTGTGGTTGTACCTGTAGCATGTCAGATGCTAGTGTTGCCTGAGAGAATTTCCTTATTTTAATATCCATGGCAGGTGGATGATATGGTCAGAAATAGTAATAGGCTATTATGGAAAGCAATAAAGTGTCCAATAAAGTGTCTGAACGTCCCCAAACATAGGTACCAACTTCTTATTAGGTGAACCAAAACCCTGGATCCACAATTCCTAACTTTAAGTGGTATTAGGATCTAGATGTGATTTCCTCAAACTAAGTTGCAAAGGCCCTCGAAGATCCAGTTGTCTGATTATTTTGCTCCTTAATAAACATAATGGATTTAAATTGAAAAGTATCCATTTTTCATTTATGCTGTCTGAAATGATATTTTTTCCTGTGAATTCATAGAATATCACGGTTGGAAGAGACCTCAGGAGGTCATCTAGTCCAACCCCCTGGCCCCTGCTCAAAGCAGGACCAATCCCCAACTAAATCACCCCAGACAGGACTTTGTCAAGCCTGACCTTAAAAACCTCTAAGGAAGGAGATTCCACCACCTCCCTAGGAAACCCATTCCAGTGCTTCACCACCCTCCTAGTGTAAAAGTTTTTCCTAATATCAAACCTAAACCTCCCACACTGCAACTTGAGACCATTACTCCTTGTTCTGTCATCTGCTACACAGAGAACAGTCTAGATCCATCCTCTTTGCTTTCAACTACCTGCAAGGGAGTTCCAGCTATCAAATCCCCCCTCATTCTTCTCTTCTGCAGACTAAACAATCCCAGTTCCCTCAGCCTCTCCTCATAAGTCATGTGTTCCAGTCCCCTAATCATTTTTGTTGCCCTCTGCTGGATGGTTTCCAATTTTTCCACATCCTTCTTTTAGTGTGGGACCCAAAACTGGACACAGTACTCCAGATGAGGCCTCATCAATGTCAAATAGAGGGGAATGATCACGTCCCTCGATCTGCTGGCAATGCCCCTATTTATACATCCCAAAATGCCATTGGCCTTCTTGACAACAAGGGCACACTGTTGACTCATATCCAGCTTCTCGTCCACTGTAACCCCTAGGTCCTTTTCTGCAAAACTGCTGCCTAGCTACTCGGTCCCTAGTCTGTAGCAGTGCATGGGATTCTTCCTTCCTAAGTGCAGGACTCTGCACTTATCCTTATTGAACCTCATCAGATTTCTTTTGGCCCAATCCTCTAATTTGTCTAGGTCCCTCTGTATCCTATCCCTCCAGCATATCTACCACTCCTCCCAGTTTAGTGTCATCTGAAAACTTGCTGAGGGTGCAGTCCATGCCATCCTCCAGATCATTAATGAAGATATTGAACAAAACTGGCCCCAGGACTGACCCTTGGGGCACTCCGCTTGATACCAGCTGCCAGCTAGACATGGAGCCATTGATCACTACCCATAGGTATGGAGGCGACCATACTGGTTAAAATTTGTCTGATCAGTTGTCTCATACTGTCAATGTGTTCACAATGAGGACCTCCCATCTTTGTTAAAGAACTGTAACAAACTCGAACATCTGTTTGTTATGATTGGCTACAATTGGATATGTTACAGGTACATCATTGGCTTGTAATTTTTCAGGCTGTACATTTCATTTATTGGGAGTACTAATGGTATCTGAGATTGTGTATTTTCCTCTTATAATGCTTAGTATTTCTATCCACATTTATTTTCTTGGACACTCCCACCATAAACAATATATAAAAATGCTCTACTCACTTAACAGCTTCTCCGACATATCTCAAAATCAATTTATTTAAGTTTCTGCTCAACTTTGGTGAAATAACATTAGTCTACATATTTTATAACTATTTTCTTTTATGCTTATGTTTAGCTAGAAGCCCTTTCCATATTTCCAGGGTGACTTGCATGCAACCTGTGAGCCAAATGCACTCCATGAAGTTTGATTTTCCACTTCTTCAATATGGTGCTATAGTGTGCACAAACTACAGGTCTCAGCATGTAGTGAAACGAGAAGCAACATCTTAATATTAAAGATTAGGTGGCTGCAATCCTCTCTAATGTATATAGACAAGGTGTGGCCTTTGAGCTCCCCTCCTTTTCTGTGTTTATATAGCCCTATCACCTTGTAAATGAGCCCCTCTGTAGTTCCTGAGCTGTTAAGTCAGCTCTCAGTTGGGCAAAGCATGGGTTTCCCCAGTCCTATTTGTTCTAGGTTCTCATGTTTCTTCCTTCCATATTACAAGTTCCTATAATTTCTTGACTATAGAGTTCTCTTTCTTGACTTCTAAAGAGCCGCATGTGGCTCCGGAGTCACAGGTTGGCCACCCCTGCACTAGAGCATGGAGGTAACCTAGAGGCACCATAAATGGTGGGTTTTTGCTTGAGGATTTTGTTTGATTCTTGTTTTATAATATTACATGGTTTTTAAGATTCTATAATAAAAATGTTATATAATTTGGATTATACTTAAACACTCTGCAAACCATTAAGTATATAATGAAAACCCTGCTAACCTGACCTGACCCCTCCATAGGCCAGCTCTGGGTTCCAGCAGGAGTCAGTGGCTGATATGACATGCCCTGCATAATGCAGGTTGGGAATGTCACTCAGACAAGAAGTCAGCAATTCATAGCAAGGTAGAACATCTCACAATCTTAAAAAGAAAGAAAAAGGTTAAGAAGCCAATCTGCAAGCCCACTACCTTCTCTTCCTTCAGATTTCTCTTCAAGACTTGCACTGCTATGATGCCTACAAGAAATCGGCTAACAAGTAATGATTACCAGTTTGAGGAGAAGATGGAGGGGCATATCAGCTGATTTTATTTTACAAGAAAAAAAGTTTCAGCTGACTTAGAACCATCAAGTTGTGCACACCTCAATCTATGTAAACTTATCATAAGCTTTGTGTTATCGCATCCTTTACTCACTTGTTGCATTTTGTTTCAAAGTCTTTAGCCTTGCCAGGTGTTTTTGCAGCATCCAGCATGATGGGGCCCATCTATCTTGATCAGAGGTGGGCAAACTATGGCCTGCGGGCCACATCCAGCTCTCGGGACCCTCCTACCCGGCCCCTGAGCTCCTGGCCCAGGAAGCTCGCCCCCGGGCCTTCCCCTGCTGTTCCCCCTCCCCTGCAGCCTCAGCACACTAGGCCATGCTCTGGGCAGCGCAGTTGCAGAGGGCACGGTGCTCTGGGTGGTGCAGCTGTAGTGCTGCCAGTCACCGGTGCTCCAGGCAGCTTGATAAGGGGGAAAGGGGGATTGGATAGAGGGCAGGGGAGTTTGGGGGTGTGGTCAGGGGTTGGAGGTGTGGATAGGGGTTGGGGGGGTCAGCGCAGGGAACAGGGGGGTTGGATGGGGTCAGGAGTCCTATGGGGGGCAGTCAGGAATGAGAAGGAAGGGTTGGATGAAGTGGCAGGGGGCAGTCAGGGGGAGGGGGTCCGGGTGTGGTCAGGGAGCAGGGGGTGGTGCATGGGGCAGGAGTCCCGGCGGGGGGCCGTCAGGGAATGGGGGGAGGGGTTGGATGGGGCAGGGGTCCCGGAGGAGCCATCAGGGGTGAGAAGCGGGGTGGGGGGGTATCGGATAGGAGGTGGGGGCCCGGGCCACACCTGGCTGTTTGGGGAGACACAGCCTCCCCTAACTGGCCCTTCATACAATTTTGGAAACCCAATGTAGCCCTCAGGCCAGAAAGTTTGCCCGCCCCTGATCTAGATACTCACATGAATCTCATTGCTGTAGTATCTGAGCACCTCACAGTCATTAGTTAATTTTATCCTCACAACATCCCTGGGAGGTAAGACATTATTATACTCATTTTACAAATGGGAGACTGAGGCACAAAATAGATCAAGTCAGGATCACACAGGAAGTTGGACACAGGTGCTCCTGTGTCCAAGTCCAATGCCCTGCTATTCTGAAGTCCATCCTTCTTCCCCGAGTCTGACTGAGACCTTTGGACACTACTGTGATATAGGCCTTGTGTGCACTAGAAAGCTGTACCATTCTAAGTACACCAATGTACTTAAAGTGGTACAACCCCCCTTATGTGGAAGCTTTTATATGGATATAAGGGTGCTTTATACTGGTATAGGTGTTCTTGTATGGCACCTATTTATTATGAAATAAACTATATTGGTATAAGGTACCTTTATAACTGCCTCCACACTAGGGCTTACACTAGTATAATTATATCAGTAAAAAAAAACAAACACCCATAACAAGTATAATTATACTAATTACACTTGAAAGTTTTGACAAGCCCCCCTAAGCTGAACAAGCCTGTGAACTTTTGAGGGTTATTTATCACTGTTTTGCAATGATAAGTAGGGATCCAAGCATGTTAGAAAAAGACTGGGTTTTGCAATGGTCATGTTGATTGGGTTATGGCAAACTTAGTTCTCACTCCTCAGTTCACAGGTCCCATTTGTAAGTTTATGAACCCTAGCAGGAAAATTATTCTCATGCCTTGTCTAACTGGACCATTTAAATGGCCCAATTCTAAAATGGTTGTGACACCTTTATATGGATGTTAGAACACGGATATCACATCTTTATATATCTTTTTTCTCCCTAACTTGGCAGCAGTTTACTTGTAAGAAATTTCACATCATTGACTGTAACCTTCTTTTCACTGCTCTAGGATTTTTGGCTGAATATTTACACCTGAGCTTTTTATGCCATCACTTGGTGGCTTTTTGAATTCCAGGTAATGTTTTATCTGTTGGGTATGTTTGGAATCAGTCTAAGAGCACAACAAAAAGTATTTAACCTGTTTATTCTATATAGCAATCTCTTTTGGGCAGAATCATATTTGCATTTGTTCTTTTATAGCAAATCATATTAGAAGTTAACCTTATACACTGGGGCCAGATCATAACTGGTCACTGCAAGGGGAGAGAAGAAGCAAGGAACCTTCACTCCCCCAATTCCCCTGTTGTGGGGCTTCTGGACCCTTTCAAGGGAATCTGGGCCCAGGCTACCGGTGAGAGCTAATTTAAGGGGAACAAGCCCATTTGGGTAGTTAGTTGAATAATGAACATGTGGGCCAAATAAAAGGCCAGCAGGATTCAATTTCAAGATGGTGTTCAGAGAAAGAGAGGGGGGAAAAAGAAAAAGATAGGAAAGAGCTTTCCTAAGGGAGAGGTGCACCTAAAGATCACAGACCCTGGCAAGAAGGGCTGTGCAACCCCTGAGCCCAAGGGGACAGACTTTATTTCAAGTTGGTTTGGATTTAGTAAAGTGAGGCCCAGCAGGGGAATCTTACCTTATTCTTTTGGACTGTATGGAATTCTTAAGGGGCCCTGAGCGAAGGGAAACTGAAGCAGGGAGTTCCTGTAGCACCACACTAGATCAGCAGAGGGTGCCACAGATCAGGCACACTGGACAACACTTCCACTGTAGTCATTCATGATCACAGACCTAAGTGCAAGGACAGTGTGGAGGTTAGCAGAGTGGGATGGCTGTGGAAAGGAGTGGACTCTGTGTCCCCATAAGGTGTACAGCCATGTGTGCATTACCCTGGCTTGCTAGGGAGGTCAGATTGTCATGGGTGTGAGTCATACACAGGTGGCACTCAAATCAGGTTATTACACCACATATGTCAACATGGTCAGTATCTGCCTATAAATTTCCTTCTGTATACAGGACCTTCAGGTTAAAGTGATGCTCCATAGATTAAGCTGTCCAGGTTCCTACTTACAGAGCTCTATGATCATACCCACATATGTGGTGATCCTTTCAGCTCTCACAAGCTGTGTCTGACTGGGATGGGTCAGTACTTCAAATGCAACACCTGGGTGCTTACAAAAATAATATTGGTGATTCAGTAGGTAGTGCATTTTTCTTTCAGTCAATGCTGAGCCACTGCTTCAACACATTGTTAGGGAATGCTGTGATGTTGAAGAGGCCATTTTTCACACGATGAACATAAAACTGTAGCCATTAAAGATTTGATTTGAAAGGAGTGAATGTGTTTAATTCCTATGTTCTGGCCAAATTCCATTCTACCTTTGTAAATTCCACCTGCAGTTTCAACTGGATCCTGGTGTCTTCTTCCTGTCCTAAACTGTTCTATAGTGTTGATGTGCAGTGATAAATAGCTGCCTCACACCACCACAGAGGTGAGTGAAGTGAGCACTGTTGCTCCGCTGTAGTGTTGTGAGGCCTAGTTAACTCATGTTTATAGATGAAATGTGATGTGCAAGTGCACTGCATTTATTTATTAACATTGCATTTTATGCTTTATAAAGGCTTCAGTGGGACAGTCTTCTAGTGTATGTAATGAACCCAACCTCAATACAAATAAAAAACAAAACAGCCTCAACCTGAAGTAGAGCTGTGTAGCTTGAAAGCTTCTCACCAACAGAAGTTGGTCCAATAAAGATAATTACCTCACCTGCTTTGTGTCTCTAACAAAAACTCACCGCACATGTGTTCTTCAGGGAGTTAATTTTTCCTCTTTTCTCATAATCCTTCTGCTTTTAAGGCCCAAGTAAAAGTAGTGTTCTTAAACAACTACTCCTGTTACTGCAGAGTCTGTTGCAGGCAAGCAGAAGGGAGGCTTTTTCTAGTAGGGCCTCCTGTTCGCTCCCTGGCTTGAGCCACTCCAGGGAAGAGGTGTGTGTGTGTGTGTGTATACACACTTGGCTTTGTATGGGAAGGGGAAGGGGTAGAACTACACCCAGTTTCCCAGGAGAGGGCCATTTGCAGAGAAGGTGTTTCTGGAAGGGGAGGATGAGGTTTTATGCAGACAGCGAGCAGGCGCTGGGCTGCGTGGTATGTCCCAATGGGAAAGGCCTGTACATCTTTTAGGAACAGCGCCCCCTGCTGTATCTGGTAAGCAGCAACGCGCTGCGAGCGCCCAGCTCACACCGAGAAACCTGCACGTCGTGCGGCGTTCCCCCGCCGGAGGGGAGCATTCCCTCGCCTCTGGCGCCCTCCGCTGGCAATGTGCGAGATCACGCGGGGACAGCGGAGGAGGCGGCTCTGAGCCATTTTGTATACTAAGGCATACAACGGGACAACAGCGGAACTTCCGAAGAAGAGGATGCGGGTAGAAGGGCTCCCTCTCCTGCCCCGCTCTGTGGTGGTGGTGATGATGGGGGCGGGGGGAGAAAACAAAGAGGCCAGGTCCTCTGTGGAGGGCCCCGCGTGTCTAGCCCCCCAGCCACAAACGCGCCGAGAGGTTTGGTTTGAATGTTGGCGAACGTACCGTCGTCTGGGGGGAGGGATTGGAAAGTACGCGCCGCACCAGCCCCTACTCCCCGGGCTGCCCGGCCGCTCCCCGCCCGCACGGAACGGGCTCCTCTGGCCTCGGCTTTAAAACACGCCGAAAACTCAACAAGTGCAAACTTCCCTTGAAAGCAGAACAGCCCGAGGTTTGAGCCGGCTGCAGCGGCATCTGCTCAGCGCGTAGCAGGCAGCCCAGCCCAACAGGAAGTCCTTCCTCCTGCTTTGTTTTAAAGTGTCACTCCATTGCTGGCTCCGTGCAGGCCGGGGATCGGAGCCAGGAGAATGTATTCAGCTGAGCCAAGAGGATCTGATGTTCCCCCACGGTCAGCTTAGCCTTGAGAAGCTAGCAGCCAAATCCCCCCTCCCCCCCCAAGCGAGCCTCAGCCAACCCCCGCCCCCGATATGTGGGTTATTCCCAGGGAGGGAAGTTTCTCTGAAATACTTGGGGGTGGGGGGGGGGGAATGTTGTTCCCCAATCCCTACCTCCTGCAGAAGAGGCAAGAGATCCCAGCCCACTAAATCCGTGAATCTCCCCTGGCCTCTGCACTGCTCTCCAGCTCCTAGTGGTCCCTGGACAGCAAGATTCCTGTATGGAAAGATCCTGGCACCTTGGGCCAGTCTACTCACTGATACCGAGAAACCCTCCTCAAGGGGAAAGGAAATGAGGGGCCCAAAGCACAGGAGGGGAAACTATGCAAGTTACTGACCAGTTCTCTCTCAGGCGTATGGCCCCTTCGTGCTGCTCCGCTGGCACAAAGGGACTGTAAAGTGGGTAGATGATCTGCAATATAAATATTAAAACATTGTTTAACATATTTGAAGTATTTCTCAGGATAATTATTTTTTAAATGAAAGCTTAGCTCCTAGAGCATGTATTCAATAGCAATAATATTAGACAATGCTAATACTGTAGACATAGGAACATAGTGTTGCCATCAGACCTATGTTCCAGTCTCCTTTCTCCAATAGTGGCCAGCTTCAGAGGAAGGTGTAAGAACCCCACAATAGACAAATGTGAGATAATTTGCCCCAATATTAGATCTCACCCTGATCCCTAATAGTGATTGGTTGAAGCCCTGAAGCATGAGATTTAATATCCCTTCCAAAAATTGTTAGCATTAACTATAACAACTGAATATTCTTGTTATTCATATATGTCCAATCCCTTCTTGAATCTTGCTAAAATGTCTTTAGCAAGACAAAAATAATCAGCAATTATTGCAATTTAGTTACAAATGGTTATGGTCAAAAATGTAAATGTAAATTAAATTTTTCTTCACCTACCATATACTGGAGACATGAATATGTATAAATGTAGAAAGTTTTAGGTTTATTAGGCTTTCAGAAGATTCATCCCCCCAGGTTTAAACTAAGAGGACCCAAAGGATATAAAAAAAGTGATTTAAGAGAAGTAATTTTAAATGCCTCTAACTTGTAATATATAACATTCACAAAAATTCTATCTAGACCCCTTCAGCAAGTGGGGTGAGGGAGGGAATATTTAGTTTACTTGCAAATCTAAGGGAATAAGTCCCTACTTTAACTTTTTTCAGAGTAGTAGCCGGGTTAGTCTGTATCCGCAAACAGAAAAGGAGTATTTGTGGCACCTTAGAGACTAATACTCCTTTTCTGTTTACTTTAACTTTATTTTTCAACACAACCTAACCACAGAGTAGGGATCTGCAACCTTTGGCACATGGCCTGCCAGAGTAAGCCTCCTGGCGGGCCAGGCCAGTTTGTTTACCTGCCGCATCCACAGGTATGGCCAATCGCAGCTCCCACTGTGTGAGGTTCGCTGCTCCAGGACAATGGGGGCTGTGGGAAGTGGCAGCCAGCCCATCCCTCAGCCAGCCCCCATTGGCCTAGAGTGGGGGACTGCAATCAGTGGGAGCTGCAATCGGCCGAGCCTGTGAATGCAGCAGGTAAACAAACCGGCCCGGCCTGCCAGGGGGCTTACCCTGGTGGACCATGTGCCAAAGGTTGCCGATCCCTGCCATAGAGCATACATGAACACCACACCCATAATAGAGAACGGATATAAGAATGAGAAAAGACTGTTGCTGTTCTCCAAATTGCTACAGTCTTTGCAGCTAGCCTCGGTTAAGACTGTTACCTAAAAAAGAGACAAGTTCAAGGATTATAAAACTTGCCTTATAGTGATAGACAAGGACCTCAATCTATTTAATTTAACAAAGAGGGCTTGTCTATATTTATAGCACTGCAGTGGCTGGTGCAGCTGCACCACTGCAGTGTTTAGCGAAGACACTACCTATGCCAACGGGAGAGCTTCTCCCATTGGCCTAAATATTCCACCTCCACAAGAGGTGGGAGCTATGTTGACAGGAGAAGCCTTCCCGTTGAGAGTGCTGTCTACAACAGGGATTAGGTCGGTATCATTACATCTCTCAGAAGTGTGGATTTTCCTACATGGGGAACAAATATTTAATAATGGCCCAGGGTCTTCAATCTAGCAGAGAAAGGCACAACACAATCCAATGGCTGGAAGTTGAAACTAGAGTGGTTCTCAACCTGTGGCCCAGTCAGCCCACAGATGCAGCCCATGTGACATTCTCAGGGCCATACAGGTAGTATTGGATGCGGCCCACATAACACACCATGGGCACATAGGCAGCTCACAGTAGTAAATAGGTTGAGAACCACAGAGCTAGACAAATCCAGATTGGAAATAAGGTTTATATTTTAATGGTAAGAGTAATTAACCACTGGAACAATTTACCAAGGGTCGTGGTGGATTTGCCATCACTGACAATGTTTAAATCAAGATTGGATGTTTTTCTAAAAGCTCTGCTCTAGGCATTAATTTTGGGGAAATTCTGTAACCTGTGCTATAGAGGAAGTTAGACTAGATGATCACAGTGGTTCCTTCTGGCCTTAGAATTTATGAATCAGGTCTTGGTTAGAGGCAAGTTGTGCACAGAACAATTTAAAACCATGAAGAGTTGCCAACTATGTTAAATGTACTTCAGTCTTAACATTTATGTGGATTTCTTGTCATTCACACAATCATTTTAAAAGCTGTAGTATAAAGGTAAGTATATTGTATGCAGTGGTCTCACAACAATTCTACAGGTTTTGGAAAAAATAATAACTTTCTGAAATAGGTACATGGTTAGAGTTGTAGAGTGAAGGGATACTTCTAGTTGAAGTTGCACAAAAGTGTCCATTCTATATACTTAGAGCGTGGTTGGCCTTTTGGTTTGAAAGTCAGTACTTTTGTTTTTAAGCCAGGAGTGAAATTTTAAGAGTTTGATGTGACTCATCATGGAAAAGGCAAAAAAAGGGAAAGGCAGAAGGTTTAAGGTGATGCGGGACTGTCTGGCCTCTAATGTTGGCTGGAGTGAACTGGATGCTTCATGGCTGAGAGATGCTCCAAGAGCATCCAGTTTCTTTATAGGCTGGAGTGAGAGATTGCCTCTCCCCTGAGACAGGAGCTTCATCATATTTGCTCTGTCTAGCCAGCAGAGGGCAGTTTCTCCATATACTTCTGCACTAGGCTGTGATTCCTTCATTGTTGCCTCCCTTTAATTTCATTATCCATCACAGTCACAAGTGTGTTGATTTCTCTTGCTGAAAGAGAAACAGTGTTAGGCCCACACAGAAAAGGAGAAAAGACAAGGCAAGATGACGAAGGTGCATTTACCCTAGTTTTTTGCATGGTAGATGTATAAACTAATGATGACACTCTGGAAGAGGCCAGTCATGTTTTCTTACCTACCCTTTCCCATGTTACAGCAACAAAGGAACTTGCATTAAAATTAAAAGGCAGTAGATTGAAACTGGAAAAAAAGAGTTCTGCTGGTTGATACAATTGTTGAACTCCCTGTAGCAAAGCGAAGACTCACCAGTGCAGCATCTTCTGCTGGTCATCTTGGGAATTAGTTCTTTTCCAGCATACGGAGCACCCTCTGCAGGCCGGTGTCTCACCTGCTGCTAGCCCCATGTCCTTCCCAGACCCTGGTGCCCCTTACCTCAGGGTTCTACCCCAGCAGTACCCCCACACACTGGGTCTCCCCTCCCAGGGGAACCCCCAACTCTCTAAGCCCACCTTGCTTCAGTGGCTACTACCAGTCATCATCAAGCCCCTGCTCACTGGGGCAGACTGCAGTGTGTAATGGCCACTCATCATTGGCAAGGGGTTAGGACCTGCTTCCTTTGCCTATCCCCCAAGCTGAACCTCTGCAGCCCCAGTACCTCTATAGGCCTTCAACAAGGCCTGCAGCTTGGGGTTTTACCAGGCTGGAGCTCCCTAGCCCTATTACCCAGCTCTGCTCCAGTTAAGGTACCTTCCTCTCAGGCAGCTAACCCTTCTCCCTCCAGGGCTAAAGAGAGACTTCTTCAGCTTGTGGCCCCCAGCCCTCTTATCAGGGCCAGCTAGGCCCTAATTGAGCTTGCCACAGCTGTGGCTGCTTCCCCAATCAGCTTAGCTTGGTTGCTTTTAACCCGTTATCCAGGAGTGGGGCAGCTGCCCCACTACACTCCCTTTTGTATGATATCATAGAGGTAAATAGGGTAATGCCCTTCAGAAAGGATTGAACACATGGATAAATATAGAAACTCCCGTTACTCTAGCTAATGGTAAACTTACAAAGGTTATCAGTTGTCATCATGTGGAACATTAGATGTTCACCATCTGGGACTAGAAGAAATGTCCCTATCTGCTCTATCATATTCATGGTCATTGCTATTAGAGTAGTGACTGGAGCCCTGGCAGTCAAGGTATGAAGACCCAGTGGCATCAAGAGTGGTAGAGCACGGAATACACAGTCAGGCTACTCCTGGAAACTGCAGTAGGTGGAAGGCTTTTCTGGGGCCTTTTATAGGATGCCCTCAGAAGAATGCTTCCGTTAATGCAAGTCTGTCTTGTGGGGAGGGGAGACTTATGGGCCCCACTGGCACACTAGATGGACCACTACATTTTTCACAGTATGGCAGAAGTTGAGATATCAGAGTGGATGGGGTTATTGATCTCTCCTGATAGGGCAGGATAACAGACTTAAATAGACTACTTGGTATCTTCCTCTGGTCTCTTGGGAGGAGTCATGTTTTGGGGGTGTCCATTTACCTGTGTTTTATGGTGACACCTGCAAATTCAGGGGTTTTTTTACTCATTCACCCTCTAAACATTTTCATTTCCTGTAATATAAATATTTTGTGGCTGATTTGCAACCTTGTTGGCCTGAAGTTGCCCATCTTCCAGATCCCATCCTGGGAGCAGGGAGAGTATAGTTGGGGATTACTGCAGACCTTGGGGAGACTTGACTTCCCACTCTCACCCTGAAAAAC